TTTTTTTTTTTTTTTTTTTGATTTTGACGGATAAGAACATTCGAGGTCAGAACATCAAAAACCTTTGAAAAAGTATATTTCAGTTCTCTTTAAGTGTAACACGATATAAGGCTAAGGATTTTATTTTTGGTTAATACAATAGAATTCTGCTCTTTATTGGTTAAGCTATTTGTTTTAAGACAAACAAGAAAGGAAGCTAACTTCGGCACGCCGAAGTTTATATACCCTTGCAGATAGAATTCTATGACTTGTAATCCTAACAATATAATTATATTTATTTGTGTTAAAAACAATGAAGTAATACCTGCTTTCATTTCATTCACCTTTACATATTATATTTGCAGTTTTACAGTCACAGATGTGCATTTTCCTCCACATCTAACGATCGTTTGTATGGCACCTATATAATATAGTAGTCCGATTTTCATAAAATTTTACACAAATTTAAGACTGATATAAAATGGTTATACTTCAAATTTGATGAAAATCTGTTGAAAACTGAAAATGTTATAATTTTTAATTGTCTTAATGTCTCGATTGTTCCTATGGGAGCTATATGATATAGTTGTACGATTTTCATTAAATTTTATGCAAAATTGTAGAGTATAGTAAAATGGCTATATCTTAAATTTGATCAAATTCTGTTGAAAACTGAAATTGTTATAATTATTTTTGTAAAAATTATCCGATCATTCCTATGGCAGCTATATGATATAGTCGTCCGATCCGGCCCGTTCCGACATATATACGAGTGAGAGTATATAGAAGATTAACTGCAAGTTTCATTCAGATAGCTTCAAAACTGAGAGACTAGTTTGCGTAGAAACGGACAGACGGACAGACGGACAGAAGGACAGACGGACAGACGGACATGGCTAGATCGACTCTGCTGTTGATCCTGATCAAGAATATATATACTTTATATGGTCGGAGGTGACTCCTTCACTGCGTTGCAAACTTCTGACTGAAATTATAATACCCTGCAAGGGTATAAAAATGTGTGGTAAAATATATACAAACGTACCTTGATAGTTTTCGATGCGCTCGTGCAAAGTTTCCATTTCTTGTGCCATTTCATCCCTCTCCTTCTCTGCCTTCGATTTAAGAATATAGGCCTCATCAAGCTTAACATTTAACTTGTTTATATCTAAATTTAATGAACTAATCATGTTTGATTTAAGCATCATATCGTGTTTTAAGTCTGCCATGGTGTTATTTAATTTAATGATATTACTTCGCAGACTGTCCCGTTCACGTTGAAGTGTCTCTTTTACTCGAAAGACTTCATCTGTTCGACCATTTGCATTTAAAACATCCTTCTCTAATGAATTAATATTGTTTCTGTAATGTATGAAATTTGTTTTAAAAATCAACTACGTATTTATTTAATAATAAAATAACATACTTAAGCCTTAAAATTTCACTATTTAGCATCATAACCTTTCGATTCAATTTATACATCCGAGTTGTAGCGTTATTTTGATCTTCTATAGCCTTTTTCAGTTTGCCGCTCAATTGACTGACTGCATTTGCTTTCTCTTTTTCAATAAGCCTTAACTGCTTAATCATTTCCTCGTTATTTTTCTGATTTTTGGTCATGTCAGCAATGTCATCTTCATATTTGTGCATTGCTTTATTCAAGGCATTAACTTCACTTCTGTATTTATCCAAATGCACGCGTTGCCTATCGTAATCAGATATTTTTTGATGTAGTTTTCGCATTGCTTCTGCTAAATCTCGATTCGCTATATCGAGTTTTATCATAGTTTTCCCATGAGCCTCTTTTTGTTCTTCCATAGTCTTCATTAGAGCTCGAAGCTTGGATTCTACATTTAACCGTTCACCCTCAGCAAACTTAGCTCTGGAAGCCATTTTACTCATTGCGTCTTCATTGTTTCGGATAATATATTCTAAATTTTCGGAATAATATCGGTTGGTAGCTAAACGCTTTTCAAGGTCAACAACTTCTCCAGCTAAACGGTCTCGCTCTCTAAGTATAATATTCTTATATTTTGCAAGATGTCCGAATCTTAAAGATAAAATAGGAAAAAATATATAAATAAAGATATCTCCGGTATGCCAAATGTATTTTTCGATCGGAAATCGACCGACATCTGTCAAATGAAATAACTAATTGGAAAAAGCGTACTGAAAAGAACGCTTATACTTATATAACAATGGTAGGTGGTGAGGCCCAAAGCTAGAGCATCCAATTAGAGATAACCTCCTTTTTGATCGACTCCCTCTGTTTGCCATTTGTGGTCCCGATCACTTTAATAATCATCCAGAGTCATTAGGAAATCCTTAGATTGCGACACCTTCAGCTTGCAATGCCGTGCATTTTTCACGGCAGCTAGGGATTTGATAGCCGCTTGGCTATCCGAGTAGATCCGTACTTTAGTGTCCCTAAGGTCCCGCCTTAAGGAGAGTTCGACTGCTTCCGTTATAGCTAGTAACTCAGCCTGAATATAGTCGCTGAGTCCGAGAAATTAAATGTCTTTTCAATTTCCAAATTCTCAGCGTAGATCCCAGCCCTTACGCCACGGCTCATCTTGGAGCCATCGGTGTAGATGGAGACCTCGTTCTCTGCTACCACTTTGTCCCTGCTCCATTTTTCCCTTGGATATGAGCTCGAGAATGCGTTTCCAAAGTTCAACTCCACGGTTATGAAGTCCGTTTTTTCGTTTACCTTTATTCCGTTCTTGCCGTGCCCCACGGCCCTCGCACTCACTGCTCGTTGTATCCGTGTCTGCTTCGATTTTTGTATGCCCTATTTAATGCCGGTCATTATACTAGGGCCCCGTATGTTAGTATTGGCCGTACCACTGTTCTGTAGAACCACATAATAATCTTTGTGTGTAGTCCCCATTTCTTTTCAAACATTTCCTGCCAGAGTGAAAAGCAATGTTTGCCTTCTTTACTCTTTCTGCAATGTTTTTCTTCCATGGGATTTTTTGGTCTGGTATCACTCCAAGATACTTAGTTAATTTAATTATTTAATTAATTAATTAACAAATTTTTATTGACGGATTTGCGAAGACACATTTTTACAGTCAGTGCTTAGCTCTGCATGGCCTACTCGAGCAAGTTCGTCTGCCTTTTCGTTCCCTGGGATGTCATTGTGTCTCGGTACCCAAGTTTATTGTACAACATTGTTTTCAGCAAGTCTATTATGAGCCTTCTTGCTCTCTGCCAGTAGCCGCTAGGGATTTGAAAGCCGCTTGGCTATCCAAATAGATCCATACTTTGGTTGTCGCTGAGTTCTCGACGTAAGGAAAGTCTGGGAGCTTCGCTTATGGAGAGCAACCCAGCCTGAAAGATCTTTGCTGACTCCGAGGGATTGAGGTCCTCTTAAATCCACCAGAGCTCAACGTAGATCCCAGCCCCTACATCCCCCACAGCTCATTTTGGAACCGTCGGAGTATAAGGATACCTCGTCCTCTGCGGTTGCTCTGTCCCTGCTCCAGTCTTCGTTTGTAGGATATGAAGGCGTGAATACGTTACCGAAGGTCATCTCCGCGGTCATGTAGTCTATTCCTTCGTTGGTTTGTAGTGTGATACTTTTAAGTATCTTGTCATATCCTGCGCCGTGTTCCCTCGAGCAATTGCTTGCCTTCTGTTTTACAGCGCTCTAGATGGCAATGTCTTTTACGAACAATTCAATCGGAATATTCGGAATAGAATAGGGTTGCCGCGGGGCATGAGCGTATTACTCCTGCGGATCCCTCGCACGCAACAACTTAATTTTAATATGTTATACGTCCTCGTTTGTGCCGGCCACCATACTAGGGTATGTATGTTACTACTGGCCTAACCACCGCTGTGTAGTACTATATAATGATCCTAGGGTGTAGCCCCCAATTGTCTCCAAACATTTTCCTGCAAGAATAAAATGCAATGCTAACCTTTCGGAATCTTTACCCAACGTATTCCTTCCATTAGAGCTTTGGGTCACGTATCATATTTATATACTTTGTCTGCTCTGATAGTTTTAACTATGTCTCGCTTACGCTGGGCGTGTTAAGTGTTGGTATCTTGGTTCTTCTTGAGAAGAGCATCAGTTCAGATTTAGTGGGGTTGATACCGCAGATTTTGTCCATTTGTTTAAGTTACCCACTGCGCCTGTTATTATTTTACTGATATCGTCAAGATAGGGTCCTGATTCTAGAAGTACCAGGTCATTTGAGTAGGCCACTGCTTTGACAACACTTGTATAGAGTTCTTTCAATATGATATTACTGTTTATAAACAAAAAAAAGCCCTTTCTAAGGTGTGCTCTCTTGACTGTACACATTTCTTTAGGACGAAAGTGGTAAGGCTTATCGGCTTTTAATCATTTGCTAGGATATGCCTGATTTTGCCAGGTTGCGGTACAAGCTTATACAAGCTTCAAATATGATTTTTAGCCATCTACAGATGCTTTACTAGTTACATTAGAAGCATTTCGATGTGACTGTATCTGGCCGCAGAGGAGCAGGAAATTTTTATTTTTGCTAATAAAATGAAAAAATAAAACGCAAATATCCACTTTGATCAGCTACCATTTCGTATCCATTGAATAGAAAGAAATAAAATTTTGAGGAAAGATAACATAATCTATTCTTCTTCTTATGTAATTGTTTTTGTTTTCTCATTTTCTTAAAACCGTTTTTGCCCCTCTTGGCCAAAATCCGGGCCGCCTGGCCCATAGTGGATTGTAGCATTGCCGGTATTATGCCGTCTGGGCCCGGGGTTTTGTATCTGGCAAAAGAATCTATTGCCCACTCCATCGTAATGATGTCTTTCGTTGGCGTGTCCGTTTGAGTGTTCGTTTCCGCCTCGGGTTCCGCGTTCTCTCGTAGGTTTCCTGGGAAGTGAGTGTCAACAAGTAGCTCTAGTGACTCCTTTATTGTCATTGTAGCAGTACCATCTGCAGTGTTTATAAGGATATGGCTTTTCTGCCCTTTGGCCAGAATCTTGCTCAATCTTGCCATGTCCTTTGTCTTGCAGTGACTCGCAGAAGCTTTGCCAGGATTCTTTTTTGGCCTTATATACTGCTTTTTTGGGTGCTTTTTGTGCATCTTTGTATGGTTCCCATTTTCGGGTTACATAGCTTGTGTTGTAGGACTTTCGCTCTCTCTTTCTGAGATCGCTTAGATATTTTGTCTACCACGGTGGGTACTGCTTCTTTGAGAATGATATCGTGTCTCTTGAAAGGCATTGTTTAGGATATTCATGAGGTCCTCCTGTAGCGCTTGCTCGGTAGAAGATACTTTTTATTATCGCCATCTGTTGGTCGATCATACAGCTTCTTGGATTCTTTTAAACGCCTGGATCTGAATTCTAGGAGGAGGATTTCCCCGTCGCCCCGCTCACCAGAGCTGGGGAAAAATATTACTTTTTTATTTAATTTAATGGGGTTGAAGCATAATTAATCGCCGAATGCAGTAGAACGACCTTTGTCTCCTTTGCGAACGATCTAGAGAGCACAACTAAGCAGAGAATTCGGTAGCAGTCGTACGTGCTTTTATGCCAGAGTCGGTGTAGGCGCAGGCTTCGGCAAAGCATTGCAATTAGTTTAATGTAATTCTTTCGGGCGTTTTGAACTCGCCGCCGCAATGCGATCCCGGCCAAAGTACATTTAATTCGAGCCCCATGCCTCATCGCGACGAACTATTATAAAGAAAAAGGGAATTTTCGACCCCCATTTTGTTCCAGTGTCAGTGAAGATAATATGGAAAATTAGTGTAAAAAAAATAGAAATTTTAAGTTAGGTTAAATTTCGGAAAAATTGCAAATTGCAAAAAAAAAAGAATGATGTGAAATGAACTTAGGCATATGTAAAGAGCAATGTGCGGCAAAGAGAAATATTAATTCGTTGCATTCCCGTAAAAATTAATGAAAAAATCGATTTAAATAGTGCGGGCCGAATGCATCATTTTCTGATAGTTTCCCCCCATTTTCGTAGTCTCTTTTAGGGATGTGAATTTCTTTTTTTGCATGTGTGGGATGAAAATCCCAATTTTCAGCTAGCTTCCGAGGAAAGCGCTTTCATCGGTGGAGTTAAGAAAATGGTGAGTGTCGAAGTAATAATTTAAACAATTTCAAGTACAACAAAAAAAAGAAATGAATTGAAAAGAAAGAAAATGTCCCAAATCATGAGCCGTTAACGTAAAAGAAAGATCGAAAATTTAACCGAACCAACGGCAGAAAACGAAGAGGGAAAGGGAAAAGAAGAGGAACGCTGATACATAAGGCTATTTAAGCTGAGGGCTTTTATGCTTCTCCGATTCTAATTATTATTGTTGTTGCTGCAACCTGTGGATTGAATCTCAGTCAGCGTAATTAATAATTTTCCTGCAACTTGCCAAAATTGTTTTGCCATTATTTTTATTTTTGCCCGAAATCGAGTCGAAGGGCGTATATTTATTTATCCTTTGTATTCTAAGTTTTAATGTTTAATTGTCTATATACGTTTTCTATTTTAAGTAATCTATACTATTATATAAAGAGGAAAGGTTTGATTTTTTGTTTGTTTGTTTGTATGAATTGAATAGGCTCCGAAAGTACTTGGCAGATTTGAAAAATTCTTTCACTGTTGGAAAGCTACATCATTCCTAAGTGACATAGGCTATATTTCATTAAAAAACAAGAAAGGAAGCTAACTTCGGCACGCCGAAGTTTATATACCCTTGCAGATAGAACTTCTATCAATAAAAAACCATACAATAGAAATGATATATATTTGTGTTAAAAAACAGTGAAGTAATACCTGCTTTCATTGTATTCACCTATACATATTATATTTGCAGTTTTACATTCAAAGACTTGCATTTTTCCTCTACATCAAACGATCGTTTGTATGGCACCTATATGATATAATAGTCCGATTTTCATGAAATTTGACACAAAATTTAAGTCTAATATAAAATGCCTATACCTAAAATTTGATGAAAATCAGTTGAAAACTGAAAAGGTTATAAATTTAATTGTATTAATTTCTCGATCGTTCCTATGGGAGCTATATGATATAGTAGTCCGATTTTCATA